TTTTTGCCAAAGTATCACCCAATTCATAGGCTTCCTTCCCTACATTCATGAAAGAAAGAGAACTAATTTGCCAAATCCACAACCAGTAGTGTTGCAACTGCCCTCACACCCGCCTCTCTCTTTCTCTTATTTATAGTAACAGGCTTTTTTTTTTTTTTTTTTTAAGTTATCAAAATCTTATTTTCTGGTATACTACATTGTTGCCTCGCAGCCCAAATTTTTTAAAATTAATTAATTCATCATCATTATCGGAATCTTATCCAACTATTTGGAGTTAGCATTTCCTTAATCACAAAAAGTATGGATGCAACCAGCCTTTGGTCCAATTATTGAAACAAAAACTTTCATGATAAGATAAATTTAGGGGAAATTAATGTAAAATCCTTATTCTTGAAATAAATAATCCCAATATTTACAATTTTATGCCCGTCTTTTTGCTTCGTCTGAATTTTTTTTTTTTAAGATACTCCTAAATTTAGGGTTTGAACAACCTTTTGAGAAGTCGGTCCGGCACATGAAGTACATAACTGCCTTTTTAAAGAATGGTCTAGTACTTCAAATGCTGATCGGTCAACTCCATGCAAAAAAATTCTGCAAAGGTCGTTCCTCCACTTGGAATATAGAGAATTCGATATGGTACTTCGACTACGTAGTCCGGTACTTTAGGTATCGGCTGGAAATATTTTGGGCTAAAAATGACAAAAAAAAAAAATCTAAAAATTTATAAATACTGAGATTATATTTTAATTCTAAAAAATATAATCCTGATATTTCCCTAAAGATAAATCTATAAAAATATTGTCTCAAAATTGAATAGAAACCAACCAATTTATAGAGAGAGATCTATGCGATAGAAAACTCAAATTTAAATTTTTTCTTTTGAGAATAATCATCTAGCGATTCTTAAGTGGCTCTATTTCAGACTGAGAAAATCCTGCCAAGTAAGTCTTTTGACCGAGGGAGTAGAAATAAGGTACACTCCCTAAATAGCATAATATACATGCTCATCCAACCATATTACATAGCCTAAATCCATGCTGGCATATGTCGGCAGATGAAAGAGGTACAAATTTAGAGTTTGACCCTACATCCCTTACGCTAACTCATTTTTGTAGGACTATCCTACAACATAGGAGTTCTATCCTCCCCCTTATCCAACCGTCAATTGTTTAATGGAGGGCTAAGATTGCCCTAATCACAATGACACGTCTCTAAACTATTTTATTTTTAATTTTTTTCTATAAACTATTTTGACATCAAATTTTGGACGTCCATTCCTCTATTAAACTCGCACTAACGAAAAATCTAAAAAAAAATATTTTCAATAAAATAAAATGACCAAAATAACTCTGAAAAATTCAAAGTGTATTTTGGTCATTATTTTTTATCGAAAAATTTTTTATTGTTAATATTTTTTATAGGTATGCACCAATGAGAAGATGGCACGTACCAAATTTCATATTCAGACAAGTTGTATTAAAAAAAACGGTGAGTAACTCTCTTGATAAAAAATGGACGGTTGGATGGTAGGGGAGGATAAAACTTCTATGTTGTAGGAGGAACATAGAAAGGTCTCCCTCAATATAAACCCCTAAATCTTCATCCCCTAACAATACATAAGAGAAAGCCAAGGGTTTATTCATTATTTTTTAATGGTAGAAAAAAAATTGTTTTCTATTCTTTAATGCCTACGTATTTCTTCAACATTTTAAGCTTATGAGACTCCCTGATGATAATAATGAAGTACTAAATTTATTTCAATAGAAAAATTGATTTTGAGTTTTCAAACACTCGTTCTCTATTTAATCTTAGGCTGTTATTTTTTAGGCCTTTACAGATTGCTTATTATGTCGTTTTTGAGGTTGATACTAGGCAGAAGAACTTAGGACACCAAAATATCAAATTCTGAAAATATTCTTGCATAAGGTTTTACCCAAATATGTGAATGGAAAATATGCTCCCGCAGGTGAATAATCTTTTTGCTTCGCTTACTTACTAAAAAAAAATAAGGAAAAAAGAACATGCATCTTCTGGCTTTGCTCAATACCAACACAACAATTTAATTGCAGTGGTTATTGATATTGCAAAGTGTATAATAGAATGCCGAATGTTGTTATTACTCAACTTTTTGATTAGCTGCAAGAAAGTGAAATTGTTACCTTCTTTCCGAGGAAGAGGTGGCTTGGGAGGTGGAAAGTGATGGAATTTTCTTGTTGAAATCGGCATATAGGCTACGACCGTCTATGATTGTCACTGCCTATGTTAAATAAAGTGTGGAAGTGGCCCATACCACATAAAGTGTAGCTTTTGTGTGGATTGTTTTGCAGGGGAGGATGTTAACGGTGGATAAATTGAAAAAAAGAAGGAAGATATTCGTAAATATTTGCATTATATGCAAATGGGACGAAGAAACAAGGGACCATTTATTTTTTTCAATGTCATTTTACAAGATAGAGTTAAAGTGGGGAAGGTTATTTGGAAGATTTTCGTGTGGAGCTATATTGTGGGAAATTATGGAGGGAATGGAATTCACGAACATTCGAAGGGATTGTTAGAGACACTGCAAGTGTTAAGACAAGAATTCTGCATTTGTTATGAAGTTGGTTTTATGCGACTAAAGAAGGATGGGGGGTTACTGTGTCTGATGTTATTTTGAATTTGGAGAATTTAGTTAAGCAACAGATAATTAAAGCTAGACCTGTTTGTTGTAGCTATATTCCTCTTGAAGGTTTTTATAACCTGAATTTTGATGGAAATTTATTTGGGAATCCAGAGCCAACAGGTGTTTGGGCAGTTGTTAGGAACTGACTTGGTCACAATGTTTTGTTTTGCTAGGTGTTACTACTGCAAATCAAGCAAACCTCTTTCATGGTCTCAATATTTTCAACTAGAAACAACTTCAATGGCACTTGTTGGTGGAGGGAAACTCCTTTAATATCATTTGAATGGTGTAACAAGCAATACGAAATCCCATGGATATTGTGTTCTTTGGGGTTATCTGTTGTGAAAAATTGTGATTCTATTGATTTTTCCTTTTCAAACATATTTTTAGAGAGGCCAATGTCGTGATAGATCGGACTTGCAAAGCACAATATAACCATGGCGAATGTTTTTGTTGTTGAGGATGCTTCATCCTTTCTGTAATTGTTTTGTAATATGCTGATATTAATAAGGATATAAATTTTGTCAAAAAATAAAAAATAATTGTGGAGCCCTTGAATCAAATGTGATGTGTTTGTTTTTTTATTTTCGTAAGAAAATTGTTTTGTTCATTTTCCTTGAGGCTAATTCAAATGCCAGTTTAGTTTGTTAAAATAAGTAGGGACCACCTTTCAAGATTTTTTAGATTAAGGTTTCATGTAAAGTTTTGGCTCAAAGTTTTGTATTGGCTTTCTACTTAACACAACCCACCTCATTTATCCGGGCTTGGGATGGGTTAAAAGAAAGTTTAAGATCCTCACCCTTCTATAGGATAGTTGTGAGACCAACTTTGCTTTATGGACAGAATGTTGGATGGTCAAGAAACAATATATGCATATGTTAAGCATGGCTGAGATGAGGATGCTGAAATGAATAAACGACAAGACAATAAATGATAGAATTTTCAATGAATACATTAGGGAAAACTTAGATGTGGCTCCAATAGGTAATAAGATGAGAGAAAGTTAGGTGGGTAGGTCATATGTAGTGTTGACCAGTATAGCACTTGTTAGAAGATACGAGTTGGGTCATGTCCAAAAAGATATGATTAAAAATAGTGAAAAAACACATAAGGACTTCTGGCCCCACAAAGAGTATGCCCTTTGAAAGAGCATAATGATAGACTAGGATTCATATAGCCGATCCCAAATAGTTGAAAAAAAGCTATGATAACAGTAATGATGATGACGACCATGTTTCAATATTTAATTTGTACAAATACAAAATAGACGGTCTAGATTTGAAGAGCACATATTTTATTGTGTAAATTGAAGTTTAATCTGCATATCTAATAATGATAAAGATGGGTTGGATTTAACTTTGGAGGCTACAAAGGGGACACAAAAATAATAACGAAACAGTATTTTATCGGAGAAGCCTTAAACGCCTCCTCTCTCTCTCTCTCTCTC